ATTAGACAGAGGTCACAGTTCATTTTTTTGCAGGTAGCTATCCAGTTTTCCCAGCACCACTTGTTGAAGAGGCTTTCCTTGTTCCACTTCACATTTTTTGCTCCTTTGACAAAGATTAAGTGTCAAATATTTGGGGGTCTGTGACATAATATACGACTCTGTTCCATTGGTCTGCAGGTCTGTTTCTAGCCCAGTACCATGCTGTCTTATGTACTACTGCTTTGTAGTACAGTTTGAAGTTGGGAAAGGTGATGCCACCCATCTTCTTTTTCCCAAGGATTTTTTTAGATATTCGTGGGGGTTTATTGTTCCTTATGAATTTCAGGAGCGTTTTGTCTATTTCTTTGAAAAATGGCATGGGTATCCTGATAGGGACTGCATTGAATTTGTATAGTGCTTTGGGCAGTATTGCCATTTTGAGAACGTTAAGCCTCCCTATCCATGAGCAGGGACTGTATCTCCATTTCCTAGTGTCTTCTTTTATTTCTTGAAGTAGTGTTTTGTAATTTTCCTTGTATAGGTCTTTCACCTCTTTGGATAAGCTGATTCCGAGGTGCTTGGTAAATCATGGTTCTTTAATAATAATAAAAAAAATAAAGTTGATGCTTAGAGCCAGAGTGATTTTACAGCAGGTAAGAAGCATGCCTTGCATGCATCTGAATGAAGTTCAATTTTCGGCACCACATATGGTCTCTTGAGCACAGAGTTAGGAGTAAGCCTTGAGCACGACTAGGTGTGGTCCAAAAAACAAAGGTGTAGGTGTGTGTGGGGGGGGGTGAGGGGGGGAGTTGGTATGTTTAATGTCAAGGATGATGAATTTTGATTTCAAGGTTTCAAGGTTTTTAGCTTGAGATACATATTTTTCCTTGTATATCTCACCTTGTTGCCTCATATTGGTTTGTCAGGACTTGTAAAGCTATCATTGCCTTGAGTAAATCCCCCGCAGCCACCGTTGAATGAATGAGAAAAGGCTTTCATTTACCACAGCAATTACCACACTAATATAAAAATATAAAAATGTCTTATATCCCCTCAATAATATCAACTGAGGTCACTAAGAAAAATATTTTAGTCATATGCATTATATTTCCTATTCTTTATACTTATAAACTCAATAAGTACTTGTTTGAAGGAAGTAATGAGTCAATTCCTGTCAAATCTTACTTTATATATTGAATAACTATGTCACTATCATATATTAAAAGTTCTGAATCTCCCAGCATCAGAAAGCATTGAAAAGTCTTTTTTCGCCATTCTCCTTTTTATGACTCCTCAGCCAATGTTTACTTCTGCTTAGCAAGAAATAAAAAAATTAAACTCTTCTTTGGGAAAAAAAAGGAAAAATCTTTTTCACAAAAATCAATGTGAGCAAAATCCTATTTCATAGCTATCTTAGAATAAGATTTAGAAGCAGAAAAGGTTAAAAGAAAACTATCAAAAACAGCCAGAGTCATAATAAAGTATACTCTAAAAGAAGTTACTAAACTTGGCCATACCAAAAGTTCTCTATTACTTACCAAAGAGAAAAATTTACACATCCTACCCTATAAAAGGATCAGATAAAATATAAGCTTTGCTTTAGCATTTTTGTAATACCTATAGTCAAATCACCATAGCCTTGGGTTAAAATGAATGTCCATTAAAGATGTACTTTATAAAAACTGATATGATAGCCTCCTACTCTAAAAAGAAATACCAGAGCAACATTACACCTACAAAATTACACAAAAATGTCAAGAAATACAGTTAAGGTTGAGGTTTTGCTTAATTTCATTCCCTGGGGTAAATGTATTAGTGCATCTGTACAAGAAGGTTGATAATTCAATATTCTCTATGTACTTTCTGACATTTCAGGTCTTCATTTTTCAAATTTATGCACCAAAATAAAGAATGTGTCTAGCAACTATGATAGCTTCCTGCCTTAAGCAAAGTATTTACATGTGTCCTTATAAAGCTATCAGAAAAAAGTTCTTGCTGATATATACAAAATGCTAAGGCAGAAGAAATCTTTTATAGAACACAAAATATTTTCTGAATATGCCTAAGACATATAACTTCAGATTAAAAGAAGACAACTAACCTTGAACAAGGTCTTTTTCTTTTTATCTTTAAAACTTACAAATTTTAAACTGCATTAAGAAAGCTGCGGTTAATATCACTCACATATAAAATATGGCTAATATTTATGAAAGCACATGTGTATGTGGAATGCATTAAAAATAAGTACTTAAGTTTGCAACTGCTTTCCAATAAAGAGCACAGAGCTTATTGTGCTTGGAATACAAGTTTGCAGAATGAAAGGCCACCTGACCGTATGAACATCTGTCACCTGTAACACTTTTGATGCTTAAATAGTCCATTGTTTCCACCACTAAACTAAATCTCTTTGGAATAGCAATATCACAGTTAAAGCTGTAAATCCAAAATGGCAGTAAAATTCCTAGTATGTAAGAACCACTAACTGGTGAAGAGGTAGGCCTTCTGAGGACATTTACAACATTTTTCTTAAGTTATTTTTAATTTATGAAATGGTATTTTTTTTTCATTTAGGAGAAACCATTTATTGAGTTCTATTTCCTATTTTTATTTGGTATCATTAATTTTGTTTTCTAAGTACAAGGCCAGATACTATGGATACAAAGAAGAGCAAAACTAGCCTTCTGAACATTAGGGCTTACAATAATTAAAATGGTCTGGTCCAGGGCTAAGGGAGAATTATACAGAGGCAAAGTCACCATGGAAAGGGGAGAAAAGCCAACAAAGCACAGTATTTAGACTGTGAATTCTGGAGTTCAACCTTAATTTTGCCTTTTTTAAAAAATTTTTATTAGTGAAACACCATGAGGTACAGTTGTAGACTTAAAAATTTTTGTGCTTGGGTTTCAGTTATACAATGATCGAATACCCATCCCTCCACCAGTGCCCATTTCCCACCACCACTGATCCTAGTATCCCTCCCACCCCCCCTTTCTCCCTATCCCCCCCCACCCCCGGCTCTGTGGCAGGACATTCCCTTTTGTTCTCTCTCCTTTTGGGTGCTGTGGTTTGCAAAAGAGGCATTGAGTGGCAATCATGTTCAGTCTATAGTCTACTTTCAGCATGCATCTCCCATCCTGGGAGGATCCTCCCAACAACCTTTATTTGGTGCTCCCTTCTCTATCTGAGCTGCCTTTTCCTCTAGCATGTGCAGCTTGCCTCCAAGCCATGGAGTGAACCTCCCGGTACTTATCTCGGCTATTCTTGGGTGTTACTCTCCTATTTTGTTACTTTATGTTCCCCAGATGAATGCAATCTTTCTATGTCTGTCCCTCTCAGACTCATTTCGCTTAGTATGATACTTTTCATCTAGTACCACTTGTATGTAAATTTCATGACTCCAACTTTTCTAATGGTTACGTAGCACTCCATTGTGTAGATGTACCAAAGAAGCAATATCTTTCATTTGAAATTTAAGTTTTAGGATAAAACCTTTAAAATAGGGGCAAGAGATGTAACTAAGTAGCAGTCTGTTTTCCTCCAATGTATGAAACTCTAGATTTGAAGGAAATGTACATTTCTCAAGATCTAGGAGATAGCTCAGGGGTGAGGGATGAATGTCCTCCATATTAAGGGGAGGAAGTTTGAAACCCAGTACAACATGGTCCCCTGAACTCTACCAGGCTTTAATATGCAAGTGTCACCAACAGTGATCCCTAACAGTGATCCCTATACCCCCTGGAACACTGCTTGGAAGGCCCCTTTATTTTTTCAAATATGTGCAGTTCCCTTGAAGTCCCTTGAAGGCTAGACAAATAGAAAAATAAAGTGTGGATTCTGACATGGTACCTAACACAAGAACAACACCTCTAGAGTATTATGTTCATTGTAGTGGTGGCAGTAAGAACTATTATTATTCACTCAAAGAAAGAAGCCAGTCCTTATAATTAAAGTCAGAGTTAACTGCTTAAAATGTGAAGATGCTAAAATGTTTGTTTTAGTATCTTCACAATTTAAGCAGTTAACAAAACAAAAAACTTACTAGGTAAATTCTAAGCAGAGATAAAAGTGCCAAATACTAGCAAAAAGTGGAAAGTGGCTAAGTGATTAGGAATACTTCTGAACTACAAAAAGAAAAGCAGTGATATTTATGAAAATGAAAATATTGTAATGTTCCAACCTGAAAACTTTAAGTATAATAAAAAAAACAATTTTAACGTACTCTCAACTTTTGGATATAATTTCAACTTTAAAGGTCCTAGCTACATGATTTCCAAAGAAATACTCTAATGTTCAAATCTTGTTTCTTCATTTTGAGCAATCATTTATACATTCTTCCCATTAATGTTGTTTCAAGGGCCAGAGCAGGTAGAGTGCTTGCATACCAAATAGACCCCATGTTTCGCACACAGCTGACCCAGCTTCCATCCTGGCACCCACTATATTCCTCCCAGCCCCTGACAAAAGTTATCCTTGAGCACAGACCCAGGAATATTCCTGAAAACTGCTGAAAGGGGCCCAGAAACACCCCCGCAATTAAAAAAAAAAGAAAAAAAGAAAAATGAAACAAACATGGTTTCCTGAGCATCACCAGGATCCCTGGGAGCTGAGCCATTGGAGTAAAGCAATACTGGGTATGGCCCCAAAAGACAAATAAATAAAATTCAGTTCTTACACAGGTCATAAATTGTTCTAGGCACAACATTGCAAGTGAAAGTCCATTGTACAGTTCGTTAAAGGGAGAACTAGGCAGGATGTTGGCCTATACGATACATAAATGCACGAGTCACGTTTTCATGTCAAACTGATGACACATACAAAGGAAAAGTAAAGCAAGCAACACAGGGAATGGGTCAGGATTGGGAGTTGACATTTTTAAATAAAATGTTCTGAGAATGAGAGTGGCTTTTTGCAAATGCCGAGAGATAAAGAAGAAACCCAGAAAGGATAAGCAAAGTCCACGAGACCAAAGCAAGCATGCCTGAAGGGACTCCCCACATAGCCAGGCAAAGTCAGTAACTTACTTTCTTATAAAATTCTGATGCTTTCGCTTCAAACTCTTCTAGTTTGGCTTGATCAATGCAAATATCTGAAATGGCAATGACAAGAAAGTTTAAATTCAAGTCCTTTTAAAATTCATTATGAATTTAAAGGTTTAGAAGAAAAATGATGGAAATAATGAGAAGTATGCTGCAACAACAACAACAAAAATATAGTGACATATAATGCTGGAAGAGAGAGGAATTTTTTAAGTATGGAACCAACAGCATAAAATATTATAAGTGGAATGGCAAACCTCAGGTTTACTTTTAAGCCTCTAGTTGGCAAAAGGAGAGAATTAGTTCAACATATAATACTCAAGATTTCTAACATCTATAGATATTTTGAAGAAAAAGAAGGCAATTAACCTGTTAGAAAACTGAGCAGTATCAATCAACAATTACTAGTACTGTAGCACTGTCCTCCCATTGTTCATTGATTTGCTCGAGCAGGCACCAGTAACATCTCCATTTGTGAGACTTGTTGTTACTGTTTTTGGCATATCGAATATACCACAAGGAGCTTGCCAGGCTTTGTTGTGTGGGTGGGATACTCTCAGTAGCTTGCAAGACTCTCCGAGAGAGAGGCAGAGGAATTAAACCCAGGTTAGCCACGTGCAAGGTAAACGCCCTTCAGGCTGTGCTATTGCTCCAGCTCATTAATTGCACATGAATAAATATTTTATTTTTCTCTATTCAGATCTTTTAATGAGAACAAGCAAAGAAATTAATCTTCAATGGTAAGTTTTAGAGATTCCATAGAGAAACAGACTCTAGTATACAATAAAGAGTGTAAAATGAAGGAATTTTGCAGATAAGAGACTGGATAAATATTAGCATATAAATCAAGGGTTTTTGTACCCAGCAATTCAATTTTAACACTTAGCATATGGACAATACTATTTATAAAATTTTATTTAAATTAGTCAAAACAAAAAGTTCTCAGTAACAAGGGCACAGTAGATTAAGTATGTTATGAGATTATATATATATGTGTGTGTGTATATATATATATACATACACATGATACCATGTAGAAGTGATTGCCCTGAATTATACGTTATACACTGCATCCCTTCATTCCAATAAAATGTGATTTTTAAAAATTACTACTCTTAGGATACACCTGAAAATTACAGTATGCATGTCAATTATAGCTCAGTGAAACTGGAAGGAGAAAAGTTAGTTATTACAAAAGAGTTAATAAAATGCTAACATAATCAACTTACTGCATCCAAAGTCCAGATCCATCTCCTAAATGTGACCCCTAACAAGCTTTTCTGAATTAATTAATTATAAATTAAAGAAGCTAGGCTTCCTTAAAACTTGCATAGTTTTTCTTGATTTAACTGAGACATATTTCCTACTCTAGAAAGTGCAGAGCTATTTTATTCCTTCTGTTGTATCATTTTGTTATTTTACTCTGGCAAACAATACTTTAACCTCTGATTCCTGTTACATCAACAGCACCTCTAGTTCCATTTTCAATGCGAAGCATTCTGTACATAGGCATACCCATTTATCAATATCATGGCTTGTTTCACCTCGTCAAAAGAAAAAAAAAAATCCAGTAGCATTATTGTCTGTACTCAAATCGTCTGCAGCATGTCTAAGTTTATTCCAGGTACCTAAAATCATAAATGGCACACATACTTCTTTCTTGCATAGCCAAGCAGTATTCAGTGATTATATTTCCTTCTCAGGAATTATTTCTCAAAACTCTCAACTATTTAAGAAAAAAATGCTTTGTGATGTTCACAGAGAATAATAGCCTTTTTCTCTACACTATTTAAAACTATTGTACATTTTAGTTAAAAACAGACTTTTTTTTTTCATTTCTCTGCCCCTCCCAATCCAAGGAATTTCATCTAATCACTTAATTCCTGTGGAGAAAAACAAGGATTTGCTTTTTCAATCTCATTGATATTATCCAGTTCCTTATACATGCTATGCTTTTCCCTAGACTCATAAAAAATAAAGCCTCACACAAATAATGGATATACATTTTTAGTGTTAGATAAATGAGACATGTGCTAACTTCTTAAATAGTAGATCACTGTCACTGTCCCTGTCACTGTCCTCCCTTGTTCATCGATTTGCTCAAGTGGGCCCAGTAACATCTCCATTGTGAGACTTGTTGTAACTGTGTTTGGCATATCAAATACGTCACGGGTAGCTTGCCAGGCTTTGCGGTGCAGGCGGCAAAATACTCTCTGTAGCTTGCCAGGCTCTCCAAGAGGGGTGGAAGAATTGAACCCGAGTCAGTCGGGTTGGCCGCGTGCAAAGCAAACACCCTATCGCTGTCCTATCACTCTGGAATTAAATGCATTATCCATGAGCATTGAGTACTTTTACATTAAACCCTCTAGTGTTTTTTTACCCTTGTAGAAGCATTAACATCAAGTTGTGGTCATTTGGAAAAGAGTGGTTTGCAGAGCCATGCAGGTCCCTTCAAATGTTGAAACAACTCATTATATCATATCAAAATAATCATAAAAGTTAGTATCACTAACCCATCAGAAAAATGTTTTAGTCCTGGGAAGCTGTCAGGCTGACAGGAGTGGATATAAGTGAATTTTCACTTGAATTTTCAAATGCTATCATAGATAATAAATTCTTGAGTCAGTTTCCTTGAGGAAACAGACACTTTCATTTCATTTTTCAGAAAGTGTGTGCCAAGCTTTCAAGTCTGAGTAGCCACAGATTGTATGACAATCATTCTTGCAAGATAAAAATAAAGCATCCAGCTCAGCTCTCAATTCCAACCATTACACGAGTCTTTTCTTGTTGTATTTAGGTACACAGCACTATGTTTCATGGGCATATTCTGTTTTGCATCTAAGATTATTAAAAGATGCACTCAAGGACAGATATTTAATAAAACATTTTTGTCTTTTATCAAAGACATTTTAAGCTAAAAAGCAGATGATTTTATTTTGCTGTTGTTAAAGAGAAGAATACATACAAGGACTACTAATAGTTTTGTAGCACTGCCCTAATTCAGGACAAAGCATCCACAATCTTACCCACAATGTATCGGATGGTCTGTGCAGTTACAAACACAATTTTAAAAAAGCAAATACTGTCTTAGGATCACAAGCAGTAATAATTTTAACTAATAGAAAGAAAAACCAAAGAACCTCAGGAATCCGTAGTCCATAGGACCATAACCATAGTCTGGAGGCTCACCCGTGGGATAAAAGTTATCCTCATTTAAAAAATACTCACCAACAAATTGACCCAAATCTAAATCTAGTCTTTTTCGATATGTGAAATCAGGATCCATCCCATCTTTATGCAATACAATCTGAGACACACACTCATCAATTAATTTGAAATACTGTTGCCTAAAACCAAAGAAAAGAGTAAATGTAATTCTATTTATTAAAACTTTAAATCAATATAAAAGGCTTTTTGGGGATGCGTAATTTCACATTCAATAATTTAGCATTAGTTTCAACAGCTGACAAAACAGATTTAGCCTAAGAATGAAAGCAAATACAATTGTTATTACTTTCCTCCCATTGATTTTAAATTTTGTTTTTTTATAATCTTTAGCCTACTTAATGTACTTTAGAGATGATTTTCTTACAAAATCAAATTCTTGGCTTAACACATAATCAGGACAGAAATAGTAAAATAAAGTAAAATATGTTTACAAACAAGTCTACAGTAGACATCAAATTTCATCATATTGAAATAGCTACCATTAACCAACTTGATTAATATAAACACTGCCACCCAATTTGTTTTTTTCTAAAATGTCTGTACATTTTTTAAAATCATTCAGTAAACTATTTTTAGTAAATCTGGTCAATGAAGGGTTGGAGTAATAGTACAGCAGGTAGGGCATTCGCCTTGAAAGTAGCCAATCTGGGTTCAACCACCAGCACCCTGTATGGTCCCCTAAGCACTTCTACAAAATTCTCCTAACCTTAAGTTAAAGACAGAGTCCTACCCATAATATTTAGAATGAAATTTCACAAAAGCTAAACTGAAGGTGATCCCCCTGAAAAAAAATGGTTTTATGTTCAAAAATCTTGGGTTCCCTCACAAAATAGCATTACAAGTGGAAAGAGAAAATAGTACTATTTACTGAGCATGCTATCATATGCCATATATTCGGCTAGGAGTTTTACTTATATTACTACATTTCATCTTTATCACCACTCCCCAAATTAAGTGTTAGTATCAATATATAGCTTCAAGTACGTACATGCAGACAGGTAAATAATTTAAGCTTAGAATGGCTAGGATATAACCTAACTTATTTTTCCTAACTTCCCTTTTATATTAGCATCAAACACAACTACATAAGACAAATTCTGACTTTGCAAATGCTAGTAATAAGCAAAGTCTAGGACACTCCAGGAAATTTGTAAAAGGAAATGAATCATCCCTCTGCCAACAAGAACCCCCAAAACTTATCCATCCCATGATAAACTAGTAATTCCTTCGTATATCATAGTTCAGTGCTGGTGAATTTCACAATTTTATTAGTGACAGAAAATATTAGAATCCACATCTTACCTTACTAAGTAATCATTTCGAATCAGCAAAAGGTGCTGAAGAATAGAAAGAAAATATCCCTCTGCTCTAGTTTCCTTAACTATGCTCCATATTGTATTGTAAACATCATGCACTTCAGTAAATTGGTTAAGGATCATGTGGAGTTATTTATCTTCACACCCAACAGCAGCACTAATATGGCCTCTAATCCCTGCAGGTCTGTGAGATGATCATGTGTCTCCTGTGTCTAAACTAGGCATCATATATATTTCACTGATGAGGATCACACTGAAAGGCAGGATTCAGGACAGTGGGAAAAATCAGTGGTGATGAGGAGTTGATCTCACACTGCTTAGCTTACTCACTACAATCAGCTCTAATGACATTGGATCCTGGAGGAGTACCAACCAGGAGAACACGTGGAGAATTATCTACCTTGAAAAAAAACCCTCAGAACTGAAATCTAGTATATCACAGAAAAAAAGAAAAGAACTGCAAGCCAACAGTTAGAGACTCATAAAAGGTGTAGCACAAGAATGAACCAGCAAGTTAAGGATGACCTCTCCTACATGCTAGAAACTCTTGTGAAGAGGAGGCTGGGTCAAACATCAGAACAAATGTGCAAAAGGTCTATTTAATCAAATCCACTCATGGACATTCACAAGCCACTCAGCTATGCCTGTATTCATAAGGCACATATATTGATAGGAAAGGTTTATACCAGTATCTTTTTAAGAAAAACCTGATTTTAAATCTGTTTAGAGACAGCATTATTTTCAAAGTTTAGTACTTTAGGGAGTGAGGTTACTTGGAGGTTGGTAGTAATTCTACATATTTGACAAAACTTCAGAACAAAAGGATATTCAAATTCAGCTTTAATATCATCAAGGCGATGGGAGAACTCAATCAAATCTTCTTCTTTATGCTCATCAAAGACTTTAAGTTGGATATCCAGGCCATCATTTCTAATATGCTTTAAATTCTAGAAATATCAAATAGAAATTATGAAGTTTTGTTCTTAGTAGTGCCAAAAAGTACAATAAAAAACACATAAAAACAATAAGCCAGTCAGCTTGATTTATAGAATTTAAGCATAGAAAGTGTTAAATAATACTTAAATCTTATCTATATTTCAAAAATAGATCTTCATACTCAAGACTTTTATCTCCCCAGACAAATTATTCTTGAAAGTAATTGATCTAAATTTCTCCCTACTTGAATACTCCTCACATTTAAATATTAACAAGGAGGCTGCAGGCCACTTACTTCCAATATCTCTTTCAATCCACAACGCATAAATTCATTTCTGATATGAAGCCTTAAGTCCAAATCATCGGGAGATGTAACAAGGGCATTGATGAGCTGCATACACGCCACCTACAATAGATAACACAAGAAGAATTAGGCTTGGTTTGCAACTTTAAATGGTACTTTAATATCAAATATCTTTCACAGGAATGCCTGTTAAAATAATTTGGGTGTAGGAGCCAATGTAATAGTACAGAGGGCACTTGCCTTATACATGGTCGGCTCAGATTTGATCCCCAGCACCACTATGGTTTCCCACAGAGCCTGGAGTAAGCTCTTAGCACTAGCAGGGATGGAACAAAAACAGAATTTTGAGTGAAAATTATTGTGATTATACATAATAATTGTAGTGAATTCTAGTTTCACATTATAGTGATATGGGGGAGCAGGAGTCCTCCCAAGCAGTGCTCAGATGGTGAAGGACCACACCTGGTGCTTCTCAGTGGTGTTGCTCAGGTACCAGAAGGCCTAGAGTAAACTGTATGCACGGGAACCATGTGATGCTGGAGGTCAAACTTGGTTTAGGCAACCTCTGTGCTATTGCCCCAGTGACTGTCTGAGGACTTCTGAGCAAAGAGAGAGACAGAAAAACACTAGGTTTTGCTGATGCCTAATGAATTAAAGAATTAGCTCAACCAGCTGAGCATATGCTTTACATATAGGAGAGTCCTAGCTTCAATTCCCAGCATCATATGCTATACCACATACAAGTAGTATACCTTAAAACGACCCCCAGCACAGAGTCAGGAATACACCTAAGCACTCCTGAGCGTGCCACCACCCCAAACTAAAATTAGCCCTAACTGGAAGTTCAGTTCTTGCACAAAAAAGCGATATTTTCATACATATGTAACATAAATTAAGCACATTGCAGTTGAAATGCCACACCTATATTATGAATAACACTTGCCAAAAATAGAACAAAATTTTCTTTTCATCCTTGAAACAAACCAGAAAAGCAACAAAAACCCTCACGTGTCCTGATTTTGTAAAAAGGGATGTTATCATCAAAACCTGCACTAAGGAAAAGATCCCATTAAAGTTATTTATCAAGCAGTGTCTCTATACTTTAGCAAAAGTTCAAACCAAGAGCCAATGAGACAGTCCAGAGGATAAGGCACTTGCCTTGCATGCAGCCAACCTGGGATCAATTGTAGGAACCCTATACGGTCCCCAAAGCCCCACCAAGAGTGATCTGAGTGTGAGCCTAGAGAAAGCCCTGAGTACCACAGGTTATGGCCCCAAAACAAAACAGTTCAATACTCCTGTATGTTTTACATGTGCATGTGTATATGAAAAAAGGCATATTTTTAAAAAAATCATAACTAAATCCTTTAAGTTGCTCTTTTTTTTCATGATTTATTTAACAATCCATCTTTCAACCAAACCTTTCATCTTATGCCTGGCTGAAATATCTATTTCTTCATCTAAAATCCATATAACAAGGCAAAAATGATTTTCTCTAAAAAACATCCATTTTATTGTCATTGATAACATTCATTTTCTAAGTTGTTTTCTACCAAAGTCTATCCAAAAACACCAGCCTATTGATCAATATGTTGAACCTCACGCTGTTCCCTAAATTGTCTTCTCTCCAGAAATCAAGGTATATATGAATTTAAAATCCTGTTTTGGATTAAGGACAAACAAAAAACTCAGTTCCTGCCGGTGGAAAATATATCCTAATTGTTGTATTTGGTATCTAAACAGTGATACCTGACCAGTATGCCACCTCTGTCAAAACTTAAGTTTAATGTAGAGAGAGAAAAAAGTACCAGAACGAGGGAAGGGGAAGACAAACAGATCTAAAAATAGGGGGGGAAATGAGAAAACTTTAAACAGAGTCTACTGTTCAACTACAGGTTCACCCAGCTGTAACCAGCTTATGTCAAAAAGCCAACTTTTTAAAAATGCTTTCTTTCCACTATCTTGTCAGATATTACCTGGTACTCACAATCTTTTCAGCAAATAAAAGACAACAAAACAAAGAGCATATAAATAATGTTTCTGGGCAGTGATAAAAATTGAATCATTCTTGGTTACCAAGATTCTGGGGAAAAGGTAAAAAAAATTAGAAAACTCAAAAAAACTGCTAAAAAAGAAAGCAACATGAAAATTAAAAGATCTCATAAATAGAAAGAGGATATCTGTAGAATAGTAGTACCATAAAACTGAGCTGCAAGAAGGAAAAGAATAATCCAATTATTTTGAGATATTCTAAAGAACTTAGGAAACTTTCCTCCAAAATCATAGAAAATGATTTTGCCTTAAAAATGAACTTAGTTCTGTAAGATTTTCCCAATTCTAATGGTAACGTGCTATAAATTCCTCTTTCCATGTATTTTTTTCGAGAACAATGCCCTTTTTTTCTACCAACTGTGCTCAACGAAATTGATAGAAGGTAAAAAATTCACATCTTTCTTTTTTTGTTGTTGTTGTTTTTGTTGTTGTTGTTATTTTAGGCCATACCCAGTAGTGATCACGACTTACTCCTGACTCGGAAATCACTCAAGTATTATTCCTGATCAGGGATCACTCCTCATGGGGTTCTGGGGAGCATAGGGGTTGCCAGAGATCGAAACTGGGTCAGCTGCATGACTGGCAAGCTCTTAACCCACTGTCGTATCTCTGAGGCCCAGAATTCATGCATTTTTTTAATCATTGGTTTCTGAACCTATGCTGGACAAACAAGTTTAAGTATGAAATTTGAGACATAACAATCATGTCTGATGCCTGAGCCCAGCCACATGGCTGCTGCAATTTCTTCAAAGGCTACCAGATGCTTTCTTCTGATTATGCTGAAGAAACAGACTGCATTGTAAAAGCAGCAAAAGTACTCTTTAGAAAGTTCAATCTTTGTTCAACATGTTTCCTTGAATGTAAGTAGATGTGTCTATGAGCAAAATGGTGGCAATGCTACATAAAAAAAACCAAAAAGCTTCAGAAGCTAAATTAATATTGTAAACAAGTAGCAGTAAAGTACTAAAATAAATTTTCTATCTGAAACTGTGAATACATATTATCTGGGCCTGGAAGACACAGATTACACTGCCATTCATCTTCCCTACCCCATAGCAAAAATCATCTGTCTCTCTTTGCACAATCAAATTTAACATTTATCAAGTTAAAATGAGTAAATGATGCTTACAGAGAAATATTTTGCCTCCAGTGCAAATAAAGAAACTCCAAAGAATTTTACATTTACATGTATTAATTCAGAATAAAAAATAAACCAACTGCATTATGTAGACAACACAGAAGTAGGAAAGTATATCAGCAGATATAAAGTTCTACAGTTTTATTTATGCTTCCAATTAAATGGTCTGTAAGTGATAGATACAGTAAAAAAAAAAAAATTAAGTCAGGACTAGAGGTAATAGCAAGAAATAAACCGCACAGTGCATAGGGTTGTAATTTATGCACAGGAATACAGAAAAACAAACCTGCATTTTTAAATATTTATTCAGACACTCCCCCTGAAACAGCATTAATTTCTTTTATACTATCCTATGCATTTTGCTGAAACTACCACTATTGCAATTTTCTTATGACACATTAGCAAGCTTTAAATTCCTGAGTGAAAGCTTCCTCAGGGCAGGAGTGTATTTTATTCATCTTTATAGGCCTAATATTTGGCCTAATCCAGAGCATAAGCAGTTACTGAATTATTAACTGGGTAATTGGCTATGAAACTCTGCAATTACCTCTGGGATGTTTAATTTATCTCTCAGGTGGTCCACTGTAGCAGGAGTAAAGAAAAATACACAGACCAAATAAATTGGCAGTAAATTACAAACAAAAATATTAACCACTCATTTATACTAGGTTTAATTTATATAACAGTTAAGCTTACACAAATATTCAATTCCTTTCATTTGGGCCAAGTCATTGCTATATTATTTCATTTATGCTGAACATTTGATTCATAGGATTCAGTAGTCCTACTGATATAAATCTCAAAAAATTCATAATCAGGGATCAGAGAGATAGTACAGCAGGTGAGGTATTTGCCTTGCACAAGGACATACTAAGTTCAAGCCAGCACTCCATATGCCCCCCCCCCCCAATTCTACCAGGAGTGGTTCCTGGGCATAGCTGGGTATAACCCACAAAACAAAATATTCATAATTAAAAACTGTAAACAAATTGATCTTTAACCTACTGAAATGTTTCAGTCATCATGGAAAAGACATTTTTTCCTACACTCTGTATCCTTCATTTTTGGTCATTAAACATAAGAAAATTTATTTGTAATTTAAAATAACTTTAACAGTGATTTGGGGCTGGAATAAGAATATTTTAAAAATAACAAATCAGCATGTGACAATCATAGAAAAACTTGGATTTTGTCTGGGGAAAACTAAGTGGATAAATTTTGATTATGTTCAGACTAAAATAAAATAAAAAAGAAATAAGCTTGGTTAAAATCCACAAGACATTTTACCCTATCATTTACTTCAAAAATCTACCCAATATTATATTTGTCATATTACAAATTTCAAAGTAAATTAATTATAAATCAAAGGAGATTTTTTTTCTACTCTGTCCTGATACTTTAATTACTCTCAACTATCTATATAATGGGTAACTCGATTTCTTTATTTTTTTAAAGGAATTTTCTTCTACTTTCTAAACTTGAGAAAAATAAGATTCAAATTTTCAAGGATCCAATCTGAATTAATTCAATGAAACAATGATTGAAGTAATTTAGTAATGAAAAAATTTCACTATCTTTGAGTAGCACATGAGATTACAATTCTCAGTCACTGATTTGCAGGAAGCATAAATGGCCAACAGACCCCATTGCTTCCTTTGAAATTCATCAGGATGTTTAAGCTGAAGCCACACTTCCTGTGGATTGCTCCCAGTCAACTTCTGAACATGGCAAGAATACTAAAAGAGGCATCATCCTGAACACGCGGGACGTGGGGTTTTAAGGGTTCACTAACCACTTTGCTAGAAATTTTTCAGAACTGCATGGCAGTCTCACACACTGCCATCCCTTTACCTGGGGTTATGCATGCATTTTGCATTGAGCCTGAAATCTCAAAGCCTCTGCAAACTTCCTT